TACTTTTTCAGATTCAAACTAATTTTTTTGGTTCCGACATATTTTTCAGTTTTAACGTTACTTTTTTTTCTGTTTTCACATTTTTTTAAGTTCCAATTTTTTCCTATTTGAATTTTTGTAACTTTTTCAGTTCTAATTTTTTTCCAATGCCAAATAATTTCTATGTTTAAATTTTTTTTCAGTTCCAAATCTTTTTTTCAGCTTCACAAAAAGTATTTTTGAGCAAATTTATGTCCCAAAATTAGCTCCATACTTTTTTTAGACATTGATTTTATAACACTGAATGTTTATCCTTTGCGATTATGTCTGTGAATTTTTTTTTTAATTTTTTGCTTCAAATTTGTCAACTAAAATTTGCCTGCCTTTGATTGGCTAAAAAGTCAACACATTTGCAGTCAAATTTTCACAGTTGAATTTCTGCAGGTGAAATTGTTGCTGGCGAATTTGAAGTAAAAACAACTCCCATACATGAGTGCAAAAGATAAAAATTCAGTGTCTAAAAAGACAACTTATTAATGTTGAGACTATATTCCTTCCATTCCTTTAGGGTGACATTATAAAACTAAACATTTATAGTTAAAGCACTGTGTATAGTTTCTACCACATTTAACAAAAACTACAAATAAACTATGCAGACATATTTTTTCTCTAAATCTTATTATCTAGTCTAGTTTTAAAGGTGTTTAAAGGTAACCCTGATGGATCTGTGTGAAAGGTCCTACTTTAAGGATAAAAGTTGGATTACTGAAGAGGCCAACATGTTTAACTCCTAGTATCCGTAGTATTGATCACATATTTGGAGACAAATTGGCAGATAAATTGCTAAAACTAAACTTTTTTTATTGTGAGTATAAAAAAAACAAAAATTAAAAAATAAAACATCAGAATTGAACATTCAGACCTGCAGTCCAGCTTCCAAACTGCCTTTTCTAAAGACGACATCATTCTCTTTATAACGTAATCCGTTACCAGCATATTGTATGTACAGATAAAGGTAACTTCAGTCATACCCTGGCATGCCCACGGTGCCAAGAGCCAAAGACAGTGAGACGTCCTGAGGCCAGCTGGGCATGATGGGAGTCAGGTCCGTCCCATCACTGACTGCATGGGTTCTCCAACCATAACTGCTCACAACGTGACTTCCAACTGGAAAGGCTGGGTTTTTACTTTGGATTACTCTAAACACACACACACACACACACACACACACACACACACACACACACACACACACACACACA